GTCTTGCTAAGTGGGCTGTCAGTAAAGCACTTAATTAACATTAAACTAATGCATTTGTTTAGTACTAATGGGGAACAAAATATAATGGTAGGGGAAAGCTTAAAAGGAATGGATTAAAATATGTGGCCCATGCCTATTTGAACATTAAATAAGGAATAGACATACTCTAGTCGAATTAAAAGAAAATCATGGGTAGAATTAGTGAGAGGATTCTGCCTGAGTGCTTTTGAGAGGGGGGCAAGGTCAGTGTTTGGTATAAAATAGGGGTCTGGATAGAGTTAAGGGCTGGTTTTTTTTGGGAGAAGAGAAATCAGTTTTCTTTCAGTTTTTTTTTTTCAGAGAGTCTAGGCTGGATTTTTAACATTTAAGAGTTCAGTAATTTGAGAGGAAAAAAAGGCTNTATCTTGTATATACTTGAATTAGAGTTGTGTTTGCTCATTCCCTGTATTTGGTTTGACCTTCTATTCTTTATAGTTGTTCGCATGAACCTCCTTCCTTGATTCATACTGCTTCAATTTTGGTTTGTATTATTGAATCCCTGCTCAATCACTAGGTCTGAGTTGATCAGGATTGGTTCCCAATATGATCAACTCATTCCCTTTGATTGATGCCATGTTTGAAATGATCTGGTCTTCTGCTTTGAATCACTGTGTGAATTTGATAGTGGGAATTGGTTTATAGCTGTAGTAATTTAGTGATCAATTAGAAATTAGTTGTTAGGGTTACAACTTATAGAGTTTTAATAACAGATCAATGAAGCTTAGGGCAGGGCAGTAATACACAGGGGTTTCAGGGGTAGTTTTGGGATTTAAAAGTTGGCAAAATGGTCTTGCTAAGTGGGCTGTCAGTAAAGCACTTAATTAACATTAAACTAATGCATTTGTTTAGTACTAATGGGGAACAAAATATAATGGTAGGGGAAAGCTTAAAAGGAATGGATTAAAATATGTGGCCCATGCCTATTTGAACATTAAATAAGGAATAGACATACTCTAGTCGAATTAAAAGAAAATCATGGGTAGAATTAGTGAGAGGATTCTGCCTGAGTGCTTTTGAGAGGGGGGCAAGGTCAGTGTTTGGTATAAAATAGGGGTCTGGATAGAGTTAAGGGCTGGTTTTTTTTGGGAGAAGAGAAATCAGTTTTCTTTCAGTTTTTTTTTTTCAGAGAGTCTAGGCTGGATTTTTAACATTTAAGAGTTCAGTAATTTGAGAGGAAAAAAAGGCTGATTTTTAATCCTAAAAGTTTCAGTGTTTGAGAGCTAAGAAACTGAAAAGTGAGGTCTTTTCTTTTACTGCTGAATATCAGAACTAGTACTATTACTGTTTCATTGGCATTGCTGGTTGGTATTTCTGGGGTTTCAATTGGTTTTTCCTGAGTTTGTTATTGGTTATTTGCTACTGTTTCATTGGGTGTTGCTGGAATTCTGCTGGGTTTTTTTTATCTGTTACTGGGTTGTTCTGTTACTGTGCTGCTGGTTATTGCTGTTGTTGTTTGTTGATGCTCTGCCGATCCTCCTCTTCTTCTTCTATTGTCTATTTCCAGGTACACTTTCGAATCACACTGTGATGTAGCTGTGAGATGTAAAAGTGAAAAGAAAATGCTCGAGTAGTGGAGTACTTAGTGCATCTGTAATTTAGTATAAATGATAAGTTGTATAGTCTATCTTTATAACTCAATGAAGAATATGGACTGTGGAGTTTGTATCTGATAAGGACTGTATTGGACCATTAATTTGCCTTTCTTGGTTGTAAATTTAGTAGTTTAATACCAACTTTAGTAGCATAGAATTAAAAAATCAAACTTCCAAGTTAACTGTGCTTTTCCCGAATAGTTAAGCATGCCCATTATTGTCAAGCTGTTTAGTTAAATAAGTGGAATAAGATGAAGATAGCATGAGTTTGTTCTATTGAACCTGCCTGTTTAAACTTGTTAGTTTCACTAGCTATGAAGGTTTTAATATTGTCAACAGTAGGTAGATAATGATTGTTGGCAGCCCATTTGCTCAAAAAGTTGAAATATTGGGTTTGGCTTCATCATGTAAAGCAATTGGCAATAGCCTGTGTATGTTAAATCATACTCGAATCTGCTTCTGTGAGTCGAACGCTGAACTTGGCCTGAATAACGTATGAAATCTGGTCGTAGGAAACGGGCTCGATCACAAGACCATCCTTAAAAATCATACAATAGAGTTAAGTAACAATTGGTTGGGACCTTCATTTNGGGAATGCCTAACACCTTCTCCCAGGTTAACAGAATTCCTTATCCGGATTTCTGGTTCGCGGACTGTAATACAGAGTCATTCTTTTCCTCGATTCGGGATTAAACTGGTGACTTGGGATACCCTAAATCTCCCAAGTGGCGACTCTGAAATAAATAAACAAATCTCGTTTCGATTGTCCTTTAATTGAAAAAACTCCCTCTACGCCCCTGCGGGCGCAGGTAAAAAGGAGGTGTGACAAAAGGAATTCAAGATGAAAGATATCGGAAAGACAAAATTATGTCTTGGTTTGCAAATTGAACATTTGGCAAATGGAATTTTTGTTCATCAATCTGCCTACATAGAAAATGTATTGAAACGGTTTTACATGGATGGAGCACATCCATTAAATGCTCCGATGGTTGTTCGATCACTTGATGTGAATAAGGATCCATTCCGACCTCAAGAAGAGAATGAAGAGCTACTTGGTCCTGAAGTACCAGATCTTAGTGCAATTGGTGCACTAATGTATCTTGCTAACACTACAAGGCATGACATAACTTTTTCATTTAATGTCTTAGCAAGATATAGCTCTACTCCTACAAGGAAACATTGGAATGGAATCAAACACATATTACGGTATCTAAAAGGAACTATCGATATGGGCTTATTTTATGGCAATAATTACAGTCCTGATCTTGTTGGTTATGCCGATGTTGGGTATTTATCTGACCTACACAAGGCTCAGTCTCAAACAGGTTATGTGTTTACCTGTGGAGGCATTGTCATATCTTGGCGATCGACTAAGCAATCAATTGTGGCTACTTCATCTAATCATGTTGAGATAATTGCTATTCATAAAGCAAGTCGAGAATGTGTGTGGTTGAGGTCTACAATACATCTTATTCGAGACAAATGTAGTTTGAAGTGTGACAAACTACCCAAGATTTTGTATGAAGATAATGCAGCATGCATAGCCCAATTGAATGGAGGATTTATAAAAGGAGATAGGACAAAGCACATTTCACCAAAATTATTTTTCACACATGATCTTCAAAAGAATGGTGATATTAATGTGCAACAAATTTGTTCAAGTGATAATATAGCTGATTTGTTCATCAAATCTCTACCAACGCCAACCTTCAAGAAGCTAGTGTACAAGATTGGGATGCGAAGGCTCAAGGATGTGAATTGACGCTTTCATCAGGGGGAGTTAATGCACGTTGCACTCTTTTTCTCTTATAAGGTTTTGTCCCACTGGGTTTTCCTTGCAAGGTTCTTAACGAGGCAACCAAAAGGCGTATTGTTATATATGTGTACTCTTTTTTCTTTTCTAGAATTTTTTTTCACTGGGTTTTATTTTAGTTAAGGTTTTAACGATGCACATTATCTGTTGAATAGACATTCATGGGGAGTGTTATAAATAGAATTTTATTTATGGTGAATGTCTATCTTCTAGAGAGATTCTAGGGATTTTACTTGGTGGCCAAGTCACTCTTTCCCTATAAATAGAAGGGTTCTATTCCATTGTAATTGATCTCAATGCAATAAGAATTCTCTCTCCCTATTTTTCTAATACTCTTCTTCTTTTATTGTTTTATAACATTAATTGGTTTGGTTTCTTTTTAAGGGGAAAATTGATCTAAACTGAAAACATGAATACGCCTAATTAATAACTGACAATGACAAAAAATGCCCTCGCTCTTCAAAGTTATATCGTCTTTCTTGAAAAATTTCGAAGGACAGATTAGTATCAAACATCCTATAAGAAATAAGTTCTGCCCTGCATAACTTGCCTTTGAACAAAACAGCCCCTAAAAATTACAAGTACAGTATTGCATAAAGATTCTAGCCCTTATGCTTATTCGTTTAATTACTACATGGCACTAGGGAACAATTAATAGCACTTAATACTTCCTTTGTTCGGTTTGTGTATTTTACCAACAGAGTAACTATCACAACCACACACATTTGTGTCTTCTAGTAATAAACTCTCATGCTATTTCTTCTATGTGGGGTACCTAAACCTTCAGTTCGGATAGGAGAAAGATTACCATATCCCATCCTTTAAACATCAGCGGCATATCAAACAAGCCAGCAAAATTTATACTAGTAAATAGACGGGCACACACTATACACAAAAGAATATCAATTTCTTTAAAAGAATAGGCCAAATCAGCTCAGATCTTTGGAACACATGTTTGCCTTACACCGCCAAGAAATAAATGCTGTATCTGTACTAGTTAGGCGTCAAAGAATGACAGGAAACTACAAAATTCTAGTATGCAACCTATTATATGATCATATTTTTGAGCTAAGTCAATCGCTACTTGGAGTACTTACAAGACAGCAATACTACATCAGTCCCTTAACCACGTAGGATCAGTTAATAATCTTTCAGTTCTTACAGTAACTTTTCGGCGACCTGCTGTTAGGTGACAATGAGAAGATTATTTTCATTACCATCGTTGTGAACAACGGGCCACAAAGGATCAACCTTCCATATGCCATCAACAATGAATTTGATCTGCACCAAAAGAATGAGATCCCACTACTTCAGAACATATTGTAATATTGAATACTAAGCCGTTACAAGGGATTATACAAACCTCATATCTGCCTGGATACAACTTTAGGCTTACAGAAAATATACCAGTGTGCGATTTCTCCATCTTCCTCTGCAAATTCAATACAGCTATTACTCTACTAACCACACATATCATTCTATACTAAGGACAAGAAGCCCATTGAAACTGTAACTACAAAGTTTCTTGATTTTTGGTGAAAGGGGGTTTATAGAACTGCAGAGTTTCATCATTAGGAGACACAAAATAATTAAAAATAAAAAGCATTATACTGTTAAACAGACAACCTTTTCGCTCACGTACATCAATATTGCTATATAATTTCTATCCTCACTGAAACCGATTTATGGATAACAAGTGTTATCACTTAGTAGGTAGAGGGACTTGTGACTTACGTCACAAGTTTGAGCCCTGCACCATGCCAACTAAGCATGGTATTCAAGTGGAGAAGGGTAGAGAGTCGGACTAATTATCCCTGAGTTTCGAAGGTTTTGTGTTGGTTTTAAGGGTTGGCCGCAGACGAATTTCTCCGTCATAAAAAAAATGTGTCATCACTTAGTACGTTGTCATCTCATATTTCCAGAAGTATGAAAAAGTGCAGTTCAGCTTCTGAATTTTTCACCTCAGTAGCACTTTGTAATCTGATCCTGACAGGAACCTTGGGTAGTAATCCTGTTCTATCTTTTGGCCAACCACCCCACCCACCCCACAAAACCCCACAAAGAAAAAAAAAAAGCAAACTAGGACTTAAATAACACATAAAAAGGCAAAAAACAAGACTCTTTGGCATCATGCAATTTAGGTCGAGCCAGAAACTTCTATCCTGACATAACTAAGTTGTGATAACTCTGCTTTCATCTTAAATTCAAGAAATACATGTTAACTTTCTTGGTGACGCTTCTAAATTAAATTATGCGAAAAGATCGTCTTAACACCAACAATTTTTTTTTAAAAAAAAAGCATCACAATATTGCCTCCTATTTCTTATCACATATGGGGAAGCAAAGATCAAACCTGAGTTGTCCATCCATCAAATGAGCCTGTTAGAAGAACCTCTGAGGCAGAGTTATGCCAAACAATCCGAGTAGTACGAAGAAGCTGTAAAGCTTTACTAGCACCATCAATTCTCTTTTTCTTCTCTTCCAACACCTTATCCGCATCACTGAAAAAGTATGGTAGGGGAACTCAGTTTTGGTAAAGGTATCTATCATAAAGTGAATTATAAACAAATGAGAAATGATGCAGACATCAATGCTAATGCCATTTTCCCCTCAAGTATGGCAAGTTTTGCACGTATGGACCGCAATCTCTTCTGAGCATTTATGACCTCATTCTCCTGGAACTCCCGTGCATCAGAAAGGTTCTCCAAATCACTAATGGATCTGCCAAGAACCTGAGAAAGCAAAATTTCTTCAGAGCAATACAAGCATCACCTCTCCAAAATACAAAGAGACAATAAAACTTCTTTTGAAATTGTCAAATGCATATATTTTGGAAATTCAAAGCCTTTTCTCCATAAGTGGTGGCAGCCGAACCAAAAAATTTGCTCTTAGGTCATTTTTCATTCTTTGGGTGAAGATCTGGGAGTACTAGGAAGCACTATCAGGTTATTGAGTTTAAATCTCCAGGAGAATCTCGGGTAGGAGGAAATTTATTCAGAACATATACAATGTTGAATATTAATTTAGTTTAATGAAAGAATAACATCACGTCCTGAGAAGTCTTCTAATTAATTTCTCGAGGCAGATCAAGAGCTAAGCAGATACAAACATATTTAACAGCGTTAAGCAACATCAATGATTTGAGTGGAAGAATTGCATTAGATTACCAAAACCAGTTAAATCCCTCATGCTACATAGTACAAAACATGACATGAAAGCATATCATAGTAGGAAAAGCAAGACCATGATGCATGACTAAAAGAAAGACGTGACTATACCTCCTTTGAACTGAACTCCTGGCTCTTGGATCTCAGGGAGCGAAGGGTCGAGGATAGCTCAAGCTCTAAACGCCGAAGACGAGGTCTTATGTCATTATGGTTGTCATTTTTCCATCTCTCCAAAGCTTCATAACTATTCTCTGTGATGGTTAATAGACCTTCTCTTGAAGATTCACTTTTACCTCCATCTGGTGTCTTACCAAAGCTAATATCACCAGCTGTACATAGGGGGAGTCAAATTGAGGCTACAAACTATGAACATGATTAGATTCCAGGAAGTGAATACCTTCAAACTCTGTGCCCTGAGGATCTGCACGTTGCATGCTCCATGTTCTCCACATATCTGGCGTGAATTGGTGGTTAAGCTGCCCTCCTGAATCACTTAAACTGCCTTTCTTGGGGCTACCTGATTTGAGGCTTCCATTTTTCCCCGGGTCAGTCCTGTCTTTTACAATGTAACAAGCATGGCATTTCATGTTTTAGTTTCCAATTGTTTAAAGACAATTCACTAACTTATACATTTTTCAGTTTAACATTTAAGCCAAAGGTTTAAGGTTTCAATTATCACTACAACTGTAAAAACATGGTGCACAAAAGGCCTTGATGATTAAACAGCATTCAAAAGGGTAAAAAAACAGATTAGAACAGGTTTATTGGGGAGACTAAAATGGGGAGAAAAGACCCTACCCGTAGTAGTGGTTCCAGAGCTTCCACCATCCAAGCTATTCCTACTTGAACAATTAGATCCATACCCATATTTGCCCGTAGTAATACCAAGAGATAAGATCCTCTCATACTCTAGTCGGTTCAATATCCCTTCAATCCCACTATCTTCCTCAAACTCAACTGCAGCTTCTCTGATGCAAAGACAGAGGAAATAAAGATTGTATATTTTACAACTTTTCACATAAATTCAACAGAATCTGTAACAAATGGCAAATAAATTGAATCACAATAAACACTTAGAAACAAGGAATCCTTCTTCTAACTTCTAGTTTTGGCTCGAGTACTAGATTTACTATAAATACTTAGAAACAAAAAAGATTCCTTCTTTTAACTTCTATTTTTGACTCAAGTCAAAGATTTTCGATAAATAACAAAATGTAACACCATTCTTTTTCAACAGGAGCCAAGATAAACAAATAGACGAAAGAGAGTAACCAAGATAAACAAATACACGAAAGCGAGTAACCAAGATAAACAAATAGACGAAAGAGAGTAACCGAGATAAACAAATAGACAAAAGGGAGGAACCAAGATAAACAGATAGGCAAAAGAGCATTTTACAAGGAGGAAACTCACAGTGATCTACCAGAGGAGGAAGCTGGCTGAGAAGAATTCCCAATTGAAGAATCAAAACCAAAATCTTCATTCCCTCTTAATGAATCACTTTCTTGATATTTCTCAACTCTTTTTCTAAATTCCTCAATATCAAAATCCATTTCTTCAGTCTCAGATTCATGAACATTTTCTGTGTCCCAACCAAAAGAATACCACCCACCCCTCTTCTTTATAGCCTCCAATAAATCAACTCTTCCCGCTTTTTCCAAATCTTTCTTTGTAGGAAATGCATTTGGGTTCTCAGACTTTTCCATGAAGGCCAAAATCTCCGCTTCTAACTCCAAATCTGTTTCACCCTCCGACCCTTTTTCGCAGCAACAACGAAACACACTGTGCTTAGCATTTTCCCTCCTTAGTTCAAGAAACTTCAAAGAACACATTTTATTACCCAAAACAAGGTCAAAACCCCCTGATTTTCTATGGAAATGAAGTCTTTTTCTTGAGTTTAGTAAAACGACTTTACAGGAGGTAGTAGCAGGGGTACTCAACAAGGAGTTGAAACAATGAGGTCTTGTTAAGGGTGTCATTCAGGCATTTCGTCGAACAGACTGCAAGCAACTCTGAAGAAACAATTCCCAGTACAGCAAAACAACAAAAAAGAGAGAAAAGGAAGAAGAAAGAATGAGCGCCAGAAGCACGAAAAGTGAAGGGAAAAGAAAGTGAATGAAGAAACGAACAATGCAGTACAATTTGAGAGCTGATAACTGTTTACTGAACTACCAGTATTTCATTTGTGTAAAGCTAAAAAATCTTTCATAGGTTTCATAAAGTATTAGACTTTATAGGTATCGAATGTGTATGTATACAAAAAAAATTATTCTACACACTTTCCCACGAGCATATCTGAGCTGGGAGCATTTTCAATTACGTATTTCAGTATTTTCAAGATTTGGGTTTTGTGTATCCTTTGGGGGGTAAATGGCGGAGAAGGAAACTTGTTACTTAAAATGGAAACTCTGACATATCCGTCTGTGGCCTTTGGTTTCTATTTACATTCATATAGTGTTATTTTTATAGAAGTTGCTATCGGTTCATACCTTTTTTTTTGTAGGTAAGTTGAAGATAAATATATATTTTTAGCAGCTTTAAAAAAACAATAATCCATAAAATTTATATTTTTTTACTTATGTGTATTATATTAAAAAATATACCTATTTTATATACTTTTCACGTAGCAAATGTAATAAGTTTCAACTTTCAACCGATCATTGTATCTTGCCCTAAGTTTAGCTGGTTCAAGAAAGAAATTTTTTTTCATGATTTGAGTGTCTTGGAACACTAAAATATACTCCATTTATTTATTGCGTGAGGGGTCGTATAGTTGGAAGGATTGAAAAATAATTTCAAATAAAATAAATAGATGTATTAGAAAAAATAATCCATGCATAACTTATGCAGTATTTGGTTGGTTGAGAAAAATAGTTTATTCAAAGTCTTATGCAGAGTTTGGTTGGCAGTATTAAATAATACTAGAATTAATGCGTAGAGCTGTTCAAAATCGAACGGTAACCGTTAATCGAATCGCAAAAATGACTTATTGACTTATTGGCATCAGGTTATCGTGGTAATGGTTGGTGAACGAATTAAAATTTTATAATTAATAGCTTAATGGTTTGGTAGATTATTTAATTTCCTTATTGGACAAACCGTTAACCCGTTAAGAATTTTTATATTTACACTTTTTACCCCTATATATATAAAGCAATAATTAAAGTCATGCTAGAGAGTAAACCTTGGATATCACAGCAACATATGATTATTCTTCTTAATCAGGCTATCGATATTATCAATTTAGAGTAACAGAGTGGTGGCGATTAAGCCTAAGCCTTCATAGAACAAGATATGTATATTGTGTTGTCACTGTACATCATCTTTTTGTTTGCTATCATGATCTGGTAAGTAACAGATGTAGAGTGCATATGTTTAAGCCACAATCTTGAACTATACGATCAAGAAAAGATGTTGATCACCATTGCCATCTAAGAGAAAAAAGAGCTTTATTTTATAATAATTGTCTATTGAGATTGAGAAGCCTATATATATTTCTCCCTGTATATAAAGTTGTTATTCGCAGTATTGCTAAAACCAACTGGATTATATAAATGTTCGACTAGAGAGAGGCGAGCACCGAGCAGATGTAATGCTTTACTCCAAATTTTTTCTTATCTCTAATCCTCAATTTTTTTTAATTTGTCTATTTGACTTATCCGATAAATCATATCCGATACCAATCCATCCGATGCTTTATTGGATGGCTAGCGGATTATTATATTTAAAAATCGATAACTGATAAGTCAAATCGTTAACATAAATATCCTTCTGATCTGCTCGATGTGCACTCCTAGTTATGCGGAATATATGTACTTATTTTATGCGAGATATAATTTTTCCATGAATTTGTTATGTAAGTTTAGTTACGGAAAAATAATATATTGTAATCCATGATAATTAAATGACTTTCACCTTTTAACATTTCGATAACGATTTCCTCATTTCATATAGATTAATAGCCTATTTGGCTAAGTTGGAGAAATCAGCTTATTTTGGGAAGTGCTTTTTTCAAAAGTGCTTTTGAAAAAAGTATTTTTGGAAAGAAACAGTTTGTGTTTGGCTAATCAGTCTGAAAAGCACTTATGAAAAATAATTTGTGTTTGACCAAGCTTTTTAGAAAGTGCTTTTAAGTGTCAAATTACGAATAAGGACATGAATAGATTTACTTAATAATTAATATTATAAATAAATAAATAATCTCAAAATTTTGTTATTACATGCAATAATTAAAAAAAATCATTTTATTTAAGTAAAATATGAAAATAAAATTAAAAAATACTTAATTCTTTTGATATAAGTTAAATATATTAAAATTCCTTCAACAAATATAAAAGCATTCACCCTTAAAGTCACTATATATTAGAAAGTTTTCCTAAAAATAAGAAGAAATATTTATAAATTAATATTATAAGTATTAGGTTTAAGGGTTATTTTGGTATATACTATATTTTGTTAAGGGTATTTTAGGTAAGAAGAAAAGCCAAAACTGCTTCTGCTTCTGCTTTTGGAAAGAAGCTATTTTTTTCTACTTCTGTGAAACTGCTTCTGCTTCTTCCCAAAAGCACTTTTTTTCCCAAATAAGCTTGGCCAAACACCTCAAGTTAGGAAAAAAGTGCTTTTGGGAAAAAAAGCACTTTTGGCCTCCTGAGAAGCTTGCCAAACAGTCTATAAGAGGGTGTTTGGCTAAGCTTATAAGCTGGTCAAACTTATAAGCACTTTTTGGCTTATCTACGTATTTGGTAAAATTAAAAGTGCTTATAAGTTAAGTGCTTATAAGCCAAAAATAAGCCGAAAGCCATAAGTTGATCCCCCCCAACTTATCAAATTTCAGCTTATAAGCACTTTAAATTGACCAGAATATTTACTATTTTATCCCTAAAATATTAAAATCTTTGTATACCCAGTTCTTCAACTACTTATTATTAATTTCAGCACTTCTATCCAAACACGTAACTGCTTATTTTTTAAATCAGTTTCAGCACTTAAAAGTGTTTTTCAGCACCTAATGCTTATCAGCTATTCTAAATCAGCTAAGCCAAATGGGCTCTAAGAGGGTGTTTGGCTAAGCTTATAAGCTGGTCAAACTGGCTTATAAGCACTTTTTGGCTTATCTACGCTTTTGGTAAAATTAAAAGTGCTTATAAGTTAAGTGCTTATAAGCCAAAAGCCATAAGTTGGTCTCCCCCAACTTATCAAATTTCAGCTTATAAGCACTTTAAGTTTGACCAAAATATTTTTTATTCTATCCCTAAAATACTTCTTTTTAAAACAAAACTCTTTGTGTACCCAGTTCTTCAATAGCATATTATTAATTTGAGCACTTTATCCAAACATATAACTGCTTATTTTTTAAATCAGTTTCAACATTTAAAAGTGTTTTTCAGCACCTAATACTTATTAGTTACTCTAAACAGTCAAGCCAAATGGGCTCTAAGTCATACGAAAGATAAAATATCATATTATAAAATATCATATTATGCCTTTTAAGATGTTCTTAATCCCTGAAAGAGACATTTGAACTAACTAAAGTATTACGATTCGAAGCACATTGGCTCATGGTCCCTATTGCGCCCTTATTTAAATTAATTTCTCTACTCTCAGTTTAACTGTGCGAAAAAAGAAAAACCATTGTGTCTTAAGCTTTGTGATCATGTTGAGAAACTTTTACTATACTAGATTGTCGATTTACGGCAAAGTATAATTTATCAATGTGCAAAATATGCATAAGAATGCTCGAATGCATGCAATTTGGTGCAATATCGAATTACAACGGCACGTTTTAGGTTAAGAACGGGCAAATATATAGTGGTGGAGCCAGAATTTTTACCAAGGTGTGTCAAATTATAAAAAATTAAATATACCGAAAAGTTAAGGGGAGTCAACGTATAGTAAATATACATATAACAAAAAAAAAATTCTAGCAATATAGTATAATTTTTCGGCAAATGGTGTCGATGAATGTGGCTCCGCCACTACAAATATATATTGGTTCTTTTTTTTTAAATCTGGTAATATAGCATAATTTGGG